TAATTCGTGTATTAATATGAGATGAACAGGGTGAATATATTTAAATATTAAATCGAATGAATGAATTCCGGCCCCACTGAATAGCCAAGAAATTATAATTCCCCTTGTTAAAATATTCGTATCAATATTTCACGACCATGACCGGCTCGCCCGATGCATGTAACATCGAGACCTATTATTCACGGCCGTGATTCGCCGCAAAGAATTTTGATAAGGCAGGTTGGTAGAGACTTCGATAAATACCTTAGCATAAATACTCATAAATGTGGATAACGAGAGTATTTGTTTAACCGCGTTTAATCTACGATCTATAAAAGTGTCAACTGGATGACGGATGTCGCCGTTGTTCAGCGTAATATCATTCTTACGCTGAGCCGATGAAAGAAATACGTGTTATTCGAGAAGGGAAAGGTTCGAAAAATTGTTCAAAGAGATCGAAGCTTTTGGCAAACAAGCGAAATCGTTACAGTGATCATTTGTTTACCCGGAAAGCAAAGAATCCACGAAGATCGTCGCCGAGATATCTCACAGTGTTCATAAAATAAAGCGGGTCGAAGCGTGTACGAGCTGCCAACAACAGGCGAAACTCACATGTGAATTATTCATGGCGTGTCAAGAATTCCGATCTCGTAACTTCGTGAATTGCCTTTAACGATAAATGGACTCGTATAAATTTTTTTGCGATAGCCGTTGCACCTCGGCAGAGTTACGAAATTTGACATTGCAAGATCGCTCGAAATTCCCTCAAAATCCGTTTCTACGTGTCAAACGCGAAACCGGGCTTTCAGGCGATAGGCGCGTAAAATTCCAAGTACGAAATATCCCGTTAAATAAAATACGAATGCAATTATCGAAAATAAATAACGAAATAATTAGTGGAAGACAAAATAATCAAAGGGGTTGAGAATAAGGAGAAGCGGTAATCGCGAAACGTTTGTGTTTCGACTTAATTTTCGCATTTAACGTATCCATTTCAACCGTTCCATTTCTCGTGAATGCACGTCGAAGCGGATGATACGCGACGACAGAGACCGCTGACGAAATTCTCTTTTTTCTCGTCCCTAATCAACTGCTCTTGATTTGTATATATATCTAACATCGGTTACCTTGACACAGTGGCACAAATGTAAACAGAGGCAGCAGACCGCTCTGGTCTGACCCGGTTTTGATATCCTCTACTTACTGGTCCTTATTTCGCCGTTCCGCATGCGTTACCCTTGCATTCTTGATTCTCAAAAGACACAATGCGCTTTTGCGCACTTGCAACAATGCAGATGCACGTTATGTATGCCATTGGACTCGACTTTACCGACGATGCATTTGAAAGCATTTGTAAAGATCGATGTAAAAGATATCAGAGGAGGCTAGATTTCGAAGAAGTTCAATTTTTCTCGTTAGATTTCATAAATTCCAATTACCATGTTATATGTATCGTATTTTTATCCCACGTTTTATTAACGAAACGAAATAGACGATATCCACGAATGAAATTAAGTAATAACGAAAGATCCGATGCTATTTTTTCCTTCTTTCTCTCCCTCTTATTTTTTTTCTTTTTTTTTTCTTTTTTGAGGGAATCTAGAACAGCGATAAAAATAGTTCCTTTAACAGATCCAACACGATTCGCGACTTCTCGTAATGTAACGTAAAATGTATCTAATTTTTTAGGAAGAATTCGTAGCATCGACTGTACTCTTTCTCTCTCTCACTCTCTCTCCCTCTTTCTTTCTACTCTTCCTCGCTGAAAACTAGGAAACTCTTAACCTTTCAACGAAACTCGAACATTTTTAAATGACACATCTCGAACCGTGGCTCGATACTTAATATCTGTTGCTTCGAACAGGACCTTGACAGGAGTAACGTTTGATGGGTGGAAAGTGGATCGATGAATCTTTGAGGGCTCGATTGAATATACCCACCTAAAGTAACTTCGTGACCCCCTTTTCTTTTTTTCCTCCTTCGCCTGGTCGAGAGAGCGAAAAAGAGACTAGCCCCTGAATGAATGTACTCGAGAATCAGAGAATCTCTTTCTCTTTCTCTGCAGCCCCGGGCTGAAATCTTACACGCCACTAATTGCTACCATTGTCTCTGATGGGTAAGAGCGAAGCACCGTTACCAACGTGCAACCACCCTCTTCTTTCCCGCTAAATCTTATCCTGCTCGTCCATCTCCGTCCCCTTTTCCGCCCTGCCAAAAATCTCGGTTACTTGCTCAGCCACGGAGACAGCCGGTTTGCTAACTAACCGTACCGCGACTCGTTCGGTCAAACGTAAAACAGGACGGTGAATTATTTCCCTTTACCTCCCCTTTTTACTCCTCTTCGTTTTTACTTAAATTCGTCTCATCTCGTTGCCTTCGCCATCGTCCAGTTTCCCCCAAATCCCCCATCGTGTTTCGACTCAACCGCGAAACTAAACGGTTCTATCCGCACCATTGTCACCCACCGATTGTGCCTGGAAATTTGATCGACACCGTTAATATACGAAAGGGAAACAGTCATCGATCTGCGTGGAATATTCGTTTAATTTAACCACGCCGTTGTTTCGAACGTAAATACGCGATGTAATTTATTTGCAAATTAACAAGCAATTAGCGAACGAGTATAGGGGTACCGCTCTGTTCGATGACCACGCGATCGCGTTGTTTCGTTCTTCGCTTCCGGTACAATCGGAACGATTTTTATAAGTGAAACGTGGCAGAGTTGCCTGCCGGAACAATAAAATACCGAGGAATCTTCCTTTCGATGTTACCACTCGCTTTTCTTGCGTTTTGTTTCCTAACATAATACGCCTGTTGGTCTCCACTTGTTCGTTTCGTATTTCCCTCACCCGAGCATCCCCAGGACGGTTCTTTTATTCGCTGTATACTTGCATTTTCATGCCATCCTATACAACCTGCCGCGATCCTTTCTTCTCCACTTTCATCGCTCACGTACGGGTTCGATCGTCGCGAAAGTTAGCGAATCGAAATCGAGGCATCACTCGAGGGTTCGGGGATTATTCCATCCTCCCGACGTATCGATGGCGCCATATCGACGATGTTATTTGCCCGTCGAACGACAGGGAGGAAGCGCCAAGTGCCGTCGAAACTGTTATCGAAGCACGAAAGCGACGAATTAACTCGCGAGAAGCAAAAATCGAGAGATACTCGCGAGAAGCATCGCGTTTAGGGAATGCGGATGGACGTGTGCGCGGTTCACGAGTTAAATCGCGTGTGTATCTATAGTACTTGAAAGCGGATTGCTTCTTCGAAGGGGAACCATCCGGATTGCTGATGTTCGTTGTATGCCCGTCGAAGTATCCGAGCAAAGTTCACCGACTCTGCTGGCTTGGCCTATTTTTTCAAACACACGCTGGGGTGCACTTTCTTCCTTCCCTTCCTCCACCACACCATCTACCAGTCAACCTCTCACCCTCCTTTGCCACCCCCCTTTTTTTTTTTTTGAAAGAAGCTGAGTACCGACTACACCCAAGCTAAGCCACACGTACTTTGTGTCGAAACGTCTGAGATAAAAGGGCCGGCATTACCTGCGCGCGGGAAAATGGACGACCCTACGTGTCCTTTCTTTGGATAACAGTATAGAATCTTCGATGTACGTGACGCGGGAAAATAATACCTGAACTTCTTTCCAGAGGTGCATGCATGGAGGTTAAAAAGAGATAAAACGTCGCTAACTTTCGAAAACTCGAACGAAGTTGCAGGAATGTAAGAGGAACGTGATAAATTCTGAATTTCAAAGGACGAAAATTTTCGTCGAAGAAAACCCATTAAATCTATTATTAGGAATATATCGAGACACCGTTCCGTGTCTTATCTCTACGATTAATTAATCCTTTACACCCCACTGGTATCGCTACGGAAATATTAATCATTCGCGATTTGTTATTCAATTTTATTTTCACCACCGATGATAAAGGAATATTATAACTTCTTCTGTTTTAAAATAGAACCTTCGATTTCTATCTCTATAATTGCATTTATAATTCCACAATTGTGATAAAATTTGTCAAGTCCGGATTACTCGTATTAAAAGGAAAAAAATTGTTCGTGGATGGAATATTTCCGAAGAATCACGGCTTGAACCGTCTATTCTTGCTCGAGGCAGACTACCTATACGACGCTAAGGGCAGTCGTCTGAGGGTTCTCTAGACTTCTTTGGTCTACCGGCTATGTGCTTGTACGCCTATGCATATGTATGCCTCCTACATACCGCATATATTCGTAGCACGGTCTGTTCGACCGGAAACGACGTATACATGCACGAATATCGGTATACCTAGCTGCACGAGACGCGGAAAGTGGATACACGCATTCGTATGGAGGCAGTCACGTCGAAAGACGAGATTAGGGACCCCTCGCGATGTAACTAGAGATGAAACCGCCGCGACGCGGCAGGGGAGTCTAATTTTACGGTGGAGTTTCTTACGAATCTTGAAAATCCTTTCATGTCGTCAGCAAAGGCACGAATCGTTGGGAAACTTTTCGAGGGGAGATTTTATCGCTCGCGGTGCTGCCTCGTTAACTTCCATCGACATTTCCGGCTTCGTCTACCTTTCGTTCTCCTGCGAGTTGTACGAAGTGCTGTTTATACGTTACACCGTCCGAAAGAACGATATCGCGACGGCAATGCTAGCTACTCCAGATCCAAATTGTCCTCGAGATAGAGAAGTCTAGTTTTCTTCCTCCCTTCCACAAACGACACCTCGCTCGCTCGCGAACAGCGATCATGATACCCCGAGTATTCGAACGACGTAGACGTATGCTCACGTAGAAATAGCCCTAACCGTGTCTGCATTCCTTGCATGAGAAACGTAGACACGTTCGGAAAATCGAATAAACGAGCGCACAGCATAGGTACGTATAAAGATCGTTAATCTACACTGGTAATCTTGGTTCTGTAACTGTAATCGGATCATGCTCTCCACGGATTTACTCCGTGTGTTTCAGGTTCGGCAGTCTGATTGGATTTGTGGTCGGGCCTGGATTTAGTATTAAGAAGGATGGGTTGGACACTCACCGCTCTTGGGGTGGCTTTGGTCATTGTCGTCGTGGCCGGTGCCGCCCTGGCTCTCTGCAGAAGGTAATGGAGCCACCATTTTAACGAACACATTCGTCGACTGCTGATGTGTCCCTCGACGATGCGATAACGTGCTCTCCTCTTCGCGAAACGTATATGCAAAAATGTGATATCGCTCGCGTCCGTTATACCCGCTTTCAATCGCCATTTTCAATCGCAAACGCTAAAATGTTATGCATATCCTGCGAATCGTGACGTTACAGCTATATGTCGCACAGGGTGTTATTGGATACCGTTCTGAGACTACGAAGTCAATCTCAATCTCGTCGAGATCGTGTTACTGTCAAGGTTGATTGGAAGTCAGATAAAAGTCAGACGACGTACAATTACGAAATGGTTTAAAAGTCACGGGAATTACTAGATTTTGTCATTGTCACTCAAGGTATTCGAATGACGAGGAAGGTCATTGGAACCGTGTCACTGACAGACGAGTTATTCGAGGGTTACAGAGGGTGGTCGAAAAACCAATAACGACGATTTTAAAGTTGAATGCGACAAACTTGATATCGTAAAACTCGTCGACCTAGAAATTTCGAAAGCCAACCGTGAAAAATTTGTCACGACGATTTACGCCGACGAAAATTACTCGTTTAAGCTCGTGTCATTATCTCCTTACATCGATGTCCGACTCCGTCGCCTCCAGTATAGATTCGTTCCCTTGAGTCCGATTCCACGACCCTGAATGCGATTTCGCAACCTCGCGATTCTGATTTCGCGACCCCGATTCTCTTTTCGCGATATCGAGTCTGACTTTCGGTCGATTTTTCTACCACGGTTGTGTCATTTCTTTCATCGTCGAAGTAATTCCACGAATCTGACGACTTTTTCTCGAATTGGAGTATCGAGTTACCAGGACGAAATACGCTTATCACGCAATTGCAATCGTAGCTTTGCTCGAAGTCAAGTAAACGCAGTCGTTATAGACGTATCGCGAAGATTTACCACGAGGGCTCAAAGGATTTTTCACGTGCTTATTTCAAGTGGAGCTTTCCTGTTCTGGTATTTTCTCACATTACACAACAGGTACATTCGCGAAGACTGGTAAATGCAACACGTGCAACAGGTTAAAGGGTCATTCAGCCACCAATTGTATCAGAGACTTCTTATCTGCCCATTTCCGTACCCGAGTTGATTCTTCTTTGAGTAAAACACGTATCATCCCGACCCTGATACGAGGAAACATCAAACGTACCGAAGACGTCGTTCGTTTTAAACGCGCTTTAAAGTCTTATCGAATGAATCACGCGGGCTGAGAAAGCTTTACCAAGCCCTATGTTCTACCTTTTTGCCGATACGATAATATCGTTAATTTTAATCGCGAGTTGTTAAATATAGGAAATTACCGCACAAACGATTCATCGCATATGAAAGGGAGCGCGTATCGCAATCTCCATGAATTACAATCCTGGTCTAAGGTAGTTGCTTAACATCTCGCTACACGATAATTATATATAATAATCGTGGAGACATGAAAGTCGAAGCAAAAAGGACGTACCGAGCGATCTTTCATGTGGGGCCGGTTAAATGACTGTTATCCGGGAATGCAGCGAAATTTTATTTTACCTTTAATACCGCGCTGACTAAAATTGATTTTTCTCGCTGACCCCTTTGATGAGCGCACATCTCTATTCGCTTAATAATAGCATATTCCAGCATGCTTGCGAGTACGCTATTAGTCCGCCATCGGTCGAACGCTCCATGTGACCAAACACTTTTCCTACTATTATATGGGACGTGAAAAAGAAAGGGAAAAAAACGGGAAAAAAGAGCTCGATCGGTGTACGACGATTTTTATTATAACGTAAAATCCCACGCAATCGATTAACCCCAGAAACCGACACCGGTAGCCGTGTTAAACATCAATATTTTCAATAGCCGAACATCCTGACCCAATAATCTAATTCCAATATCGTTGCTGGAAAAGTTTCTCCATGAGAACACGATTGTCGACCTCGGTATCTAGCCATGAAAGCTATACCGAATTTCACGCGAAAGCTCGCTGATTATCGCGTTCCCGCGAGTTATTGATAACATTACCGATAATTATATACGATAACGCGTTTAATCGCTAGATATTGCACCGGCTGGCAGTGGGGCACCAGAAACATATGGAACGTCTGCGAGGAATGGCGACAAAGGCTGTCATGGTTATGGGCTCCGCGAGAAGAAAAGGTAACGCTAATCCTAAAGAGAAGGAATCTCGAAGAATGGGAAATTAATTGATCCAATTGCTGCTATTTACCACGTTTGGTTATGTCGGATTTTCCAGGTCGGTTTAGTAAAAGCGCAGCACCCGACAGCCCAGACAATCCCCGGTTTGTATCGACAACCTGGAAACGTGTCTCAACATTTGCTTCACAGTGACAGCGACCTCAGACTCGATGCTCAAGGAGCTTTCACCAGGTACGGAAACTGGTTGTGAAACGAATTCTGACGATATTACGTCTGCGTAATTCTGCGGAACTTGGTTAATTAAAGACTAGATCGTGCATCGGATTAATAAAGTGTCAATTTCTATCGCGTTAATTATGACTCGCTGGAAGCATCGCGCGTTAACTTTTGCAACAGCGAAGAACAACGCGCCGATGTGCCAGAGTGCTACCGGGAATTTTGCGTGTGACGCGATCGAGCGCTGGATGACATAGCGATAACTTTTTTCGCCGGGCCGAGCACTTAGAATAATTGGGTAAAACCGTTAATAGCTCGAGTAAGTTACAATCGAATAACGGCAGGGTTGTTAAAGCCATGAAATTTTTAATAATTCGACATTGCTCGCGCGCAAAATGATCGCTTTGTATATTTATCGTTCCTATAACGAGTAGGTCTCGTAACGAGCAAACGTTAAACGGATCTCGAGGAAACGATCGTTAGTGTATACCACGAGTCAAGAGCAAATCAATTCAACTGTATAGGTTGCATCTATATTTGTAACAAAAATTATGCGACCTTTTTTCAGTAAGCACGCAATGTCTACTCGGTCGGTTAATCGATACTTAATATTTAATGCGACAACGAGTCGAAACCGTGGCGCTGTAACATGTAAAATCAAATCTGTATTTCATGTCGGGTTCCTCGATCGATGTTTGATATTCGACAAATGAACAGTTGGATTTAGTATACACCACGAATTAGGAATGGATTCGCTCTTCTAAACTAATAAGAGAAACTAATAAGTTATCAACGAAATATCTGCATTGTTCGTGTGCGATATATTAGTACTCGTAACGAAACAAACGGCCGTGGTCGTATAACGAAATTGCGATTGGAAAAATAAAAATAAATTTAATAGAACGTTGCTCCGAGCTCGAAACAACCAAACGAGTTTCGAAATAGTAAAACTCGTAATGTGTACAGATTCGAACCGGTGGACAGGGATCTCCATCCGCCTCTAGGCACCACTACCGGTAGTACGATACCACCGCAACCTTTGAGACCAGCGCCTCAACCAAGGCCGACTGCTAGACCAAGGCCATCTCCGCTTCAAACCACGAGCACCGTAGACTACCTGAGAATGCAAGAGGCTGGTCCGATTCCTCTGACGCCACCACCGTCGTTGCAAAGACCGTCGGTTCCCTCGAGATCGACCGGTCCGTCGGTGTTTCTTTTCCAGAGCGAACCCATCAAGAATTACGGGCTGCATAAAACGACAAACGACCACGGAGCGTTTAGATTCGATGGCGAAGCAACGAAGACCATGGCGGAGAGTATTCAAATGACACAGTACGGCTCGCAGAATCACGTAGACACAAGACTGAGATACGAGCGCGATTTAGAGGAAGAACGAAGGAAAGAGAACAGAGTCAACCCTTACAGGCAATTCGATGCCGGTGTAGAATCGACCAGGATCAGATACGACGTACACGGTGTGCCTATAGCTACCCTAGATGGGAAAGGGGACGAGGAGAGCAACATGAGCTACGGTAGCTACGACATCGTCCACAGGAGTCACATGATACGGCAACATGTCAGGAATGATTCTAGAGGCTCTCCGAGCAGTTTCGGTATGGCGAATTCTTCGAATGCCGCCAGCCAGACTATCATGGAATCGATATACGGGCCCGAGGAGCTGTCTAAGATGCTTCAGAGCACTCAGAGTCTCGGCAACGACCTCGATCATAAGAGCAACGAGATGCAAAGCATCGAGATGACGCCCTTTAGAAGTTCCAGCTTTCAGGAGAACATCGGTCCGTCCTACTTGTTTCAGGAGTCTCAAGGCTTGCAGAAGGTCTCGCAGTACATTCAGAGTTTACCCGATCTTCCTATATACGACTCGATTAACGAACTCGGACTCCACGAAGATCAGGATCGCGTGCTGTACGACGACACGATTCAGGAATCGATCAACGCGATGAAGGTCAATAGCGAGACGGCCTCCAGCCCGATACCACCACCACCCGCGCCACCTGATCCACCGAAAGATGTGCCAAAGAAGAACGGACAGACCACTGGCGAAAGAATATTCAACGCTCTCAGATTGGTCACCTCGCAGAGTTACATCGACGCCTCGGAATTTTACAAGTATGTCGAATCGATTATCCCATATCTTAGGTACACATAGGAAGCGGAAGGAACGGCGACGTTAGATACTCACAGCGTTATTTTTGATCATCGTAGTTCAGTTGTGTCTTCGGCACAGCAAGTTCAACATTTCACCTTCCCGTCGAGGTCTCCGTCGTCGTTGGTGCAGGACAGCACCGGCAGCCAATTGCGGGATGAAGTTCGGGATATCTATGCAGAGAACGATTCCGATGTAACAGGCCTCGACGGATCTAGACGTAGTTCCGATCTTTACAGCCCCGAACTTAATTTGGAAGCACACAGGACAGCACAAGAGGTACGTCATTGTTCCAAACAGAGATTAGAATCGTGGTCGAATTTATTTTAATTATCGTATTATTTTAACAGGTGTACAATAGTTTACAAGACCCACCGTCGTCACCGTTGCTAGTCAAAGATAACAGTCAAGAGGTTTATACGTACATGACCGACCCCAGTTTCACGCGAACCTCCGAGGTACTTGGAAACTTACTGAACATCCAGCTACGAGTATTTTAAACTCCGTTCAACCAATCGAGTTATTTTTATTTTATTTATTTTCAGGATATCTTAAACAGCATCGAACAAAGGAGAAAAAGTATGGAGAGATTAAACGGTATTCACGAACTCCACGAACTCCACGAACTCCACGAACTCAACGAACTCGACGAAGCGGATTCACTGAGGTAACTTTTAACATACGATAATTCTATTGGTACCCAATGAGAAAGAAACTAATTATCGAACGTGTCTCGTAGGAAACGGAACAATCACGAGTTCTACATTGCGCTGGAGGAAGTACATTTGAAACGAAAATTCTTTCAGGTATAACAATTCGATCCTCGTTTCTCGCGCGCCTCTCTTTACGATTAGACGAATTAATTGCACCTACCAGGGTATTAACGCGATCTTTAAATGCAATTCGATTCGTAGAGTTTCATCACAAACTATACCATGAACGATTACAACGAGATCAACCCTGGAAGTCGCCGTGGACCCCAAGGACCAGATCCAGAGCCTCCGCCGGATGAATCGAACCTGAAAAGAGCAATAAGCTGCGAAAGTGTGTGCTCCGATACGAGTGTAGTATTAAATGACCTCGAAGAAGCGCCTATCGTAGGTTACGTGTGTGTCGGTGTCCAATACGACAGATGGGGTGGTCGAGGTGCTGATAGCGAGGGTGATCTCGCGGTCAGCGTCCTCGAGGCCAGAGATCTCATCACTCCGGATGGCCAACCAGCTCAAGATACTTTTGCTAGGTTCGAATATTCCGTAAATCGTATCAGATCGAACACGTGCATACACTACCGTCCAAAAGATTAGGATTACTCGTCGTTTCATAGTAGATACGCAATTATTGACTCGATTTTAAGGAACAAGATAATTCCATTATATCGATAAAAATATCTAAACGTGAACAATCCCGATCTTTTGACCGATAGCGTATACATCGAATCGAGTTAACGAGAAATATTTATTCTTTTAGAGTTTGTCTGTTACCAAACAGGCAGTTTTACGTAAACACCAGATTGTATAGAGGAAGTCCATCGCCTAGTTACCAAGAGAATTTTTTGTTCCCTCTAGACGATGGTCCCACGGGAAGAACTCTTCTCGTCGAAGTATGAGTTTATAAGATAATATGTGGAAATGCCTGCAATACTCGGTAAGGGTACGACTGGGTGAACTAACGGGTCAATATTTCAAGGTGTTCTCCGACGAAACCAGTACGGGTGATGGAACATCCCTCATCGGGGAAGCTAGGTTACGTCTAGGACCCGCGCCAAGAACGACGACCACTACTTGGTTACCACTCATGGGATCGGCTTTACCCACGCCGAGACTCGGAGAATTGATGTTCTCCTTGAGTTATCTGCAAACGGCTGAAAGACTCAACCTGGTGGTCGTGAAGGCCAGGAATCTACGTGGCATCAATAACGTACCGGGGGACTTCTTCGTTAAGGTTTAGAAACGCTTTCTTATCTCCCATTGTTCTACGGCGAAAAATGCTAATACGTATGTAATAAATGTTTAATAAATTTAAACCCCCGATAGGTTTATTTGCTACAGCAAGAGAAGAAGATACATAAGAAAAAGACAACCGTGAAGAAAGGAGAGGAAAGTCCGATCTTCAACGAGGCAATCATTTTTAACGTTCCCAGTCACATCCTGCAGGTTCGGATAATTTAACGTTTCTTTCGTTCGTTCGAGACAGAGAAATTCGACGAAAAATTGAAAGAACTTTGAAAAACTTGTATAGACTTTGTTAATCTAATTTCAGAACATACAGATAAGACTAACCGTAGCGGAAGTTAACAGTGACCAGAGCGCAAATTCGAAACCGCATTCCGTCGGACACGTTATCGTTGGACCTTCGTCGACGGGAAGAGCGAGGCATCCGCTGAGGAAATGAAAGGAACCAGCGGGATATAGGAAGGAAAATCCGTGCGGATTTGAAGTATACCTGGAGAACGGTAGCGTTACGTAAACATAACGTTATAGCGAATCATTCTGATACTTCTCCGGATTTTGAACCGTTCAATTTCAAAAATTCGCCGAGCTTCGACGATTTTGTTCGCAACAGGCAACGCAAACGCGATCGACGTATGTTCGTCAAAGCATACTATCAATGGTATCTAGGCAAACAGTTCAAAACCGTGAGAATTTTTAGAATAATCCAATAGTGTACGGTCCTTCTTGATAGCTTACTTCTCCATCAAAGAGAGAAGAAAGAGCAAAACAGAAAATAGAAAGAAAGAAGGAAAAATCTACAGAGATTTTGTTATTACGTTGGTGGACTGTTGTAGGGAAGAAATGGTCGTAAACAATTCGTTGGAATCATTGTAAATTCGTGAATTACAGGGTGCTGACACATTCAAGGCCTCGATACGAAAGATTTTTCTAATCACGTTACTTGTGTAAGTATTCCACTGAATGTCCAGCCTTCTCTATTTAACCGTTCTCCTTTGTACTCTAACGAGGAAACACTCCCATAAACGTGTGACACGTTGCAAGTAGAAAGAAGATAATTCAACAAATCTACGATTCACCGTTTTCGATTTGATGGTATAAAATCTCAATGTCAAATTCGTATCCTATTGTACATGTACTAAATGGATATACATGATATGTTGTTTCATCTAATGATAAGATTCAAAAGAACGGCTCCGTGATTACGACTCGCATGGCTGATTTTCACGAATCACGAGACGAATCTATCGTTGATACGAAAGAAACAGAAAGAAATAAACGGACTAATCGTAAGGAATAAAGATGATCGAGCAAGATGAGACACGGAGCTGATATCAATCATTTCAGACTGATGTATCGATATCAAAAATCATCGTCAGGCACAAATCGCTGTAGGTTCTAAATGGATCCACATCGTTGTTCATATCGAGTGTCCCTCCACGAGGAAGGTTCGAATGAACTTTGTGACAAGACCACAAAGTACCTCGCACGAGGCTCAAATATTTGTATCGATATTTTGTATACGGCCACGGTATGTCGAAGCCAAAATATACACATGTATCGTTTTATTCGTTTCGTTCATCGTTGGAACGAATTTGTAAGCGAATCGCATACGGAAAGATAGAAAAGCAGAAACCATCGGGCATAGGAATTAACGATGGCTTTAAAATGTATTCTTTCGTTTTTTCAGTTTCTTTTCTTTTGCAAAGGAATACAGGTACGAGTAGATCAATTTTAGACGACAGGATTAATCGAACCTTCCTTACGTGTATAGAAAAAGTGCCATCGGAACCTCCTGTTTGTATCGCATTTGGTGTCAGTCAAAATTTCATTTTCCCTTTTCTTTCTTTTTTTCTATTTATTTTTTCGAAAGAAAAGCTCGATTTTTTCTACGTCGGACAATCATTGTTTGCTTTAACGACAGGATTATCTATCGGTTGTACAAATATACTTGTAAAAATTGCTCACCTTTGCTATCCTTGTAATCTTAATCTTTAAGATCAATCCGTTGATCTGGTAATTAGATTGATATAATTTACAATCTTAAACGTTTAAGATTGCAAGGAAAGAAGGAAACGACAAAGAAAAAAAAAGAAACATGAAAATTTCCGGCAGTTTGTCGCGATTAAAGGAGTCATTGCCGACGTCGAAGAATATATGGACGACAGAATCTCTGATTCAGAATTTTGTCGAGATGTAAATGTTGTTGTTCCCAATGGACTGTTAATGTTTGTACAGAGTTTATTAACGACGTACTCGACGGGCAGAGCATTCTCTTCGAAACGTGGACGATCGTACACGATTTCCGATTGCGTTCTTCTCTTTTCTAAATATCGATAATCATTCTTTCTACGCTTCTTCTTCTCCTCCTTCTTCTTCTTCTTCTTCTTCTTCTTCTTCTTCTCCTTCTTCTTCTTCTTCTTCTTTTTTTTCAACTCATTCTCATTCACCATGTTCTTCTTTCTCATCACTCGACCAATTTCTTTTTATTGTTTCATTTCGACAGTGACATCGTTGGCCTCGATTTCTTCTTCCTCTTCTTCCTTCTCCTCCTTCGTGACAGTACTTGGCACACAGCCGAATTATCCGATCTTCAAGAAGCGCAGGGTCGATGTAAATCTGCTGCCGATTGTTTGTACTTACACAGTACGATTTAGCAATGGACGAATTCTCGCGTCGTCTTGATCCTACAAAATTTGCTCCACTACGATTCCATTGGGCGTTCGAGGTTACAGTAATACTCGATTATTCCTAATGTAATAGAATACGCGTTGCCATTTGGTCGGAACTGCTTCAACGATATATGCATTACTCCAGAGAAAATCGTACGACATTTCGGCAAAAGATAATCATGAATTTAGAAAAAATCTAGTACGCTAGAATTAATTGTTCTTGTGATAAAATGTAAAGAAAAGTTTTCGATCAGTAATTCTCCCCTTTGGTAATAGCGATTTACGTTTACCGTTATAGTCAGGTAACGCGTACGAGTCACGGGATGCGATGATGCGCGTAAACGTTAATTTACTATTTAGCGATACGTTTACAGTTCCGACAAAATTGGGAGACCTCGCGATATTTACGACTAACGAGATTGTTAGCGCAAATCAAACGAATTAGATAGCCTTTCGGACCTCATAGCCTATTCTATACCTATAAATTTTGTACCTCTTCGTACACGATAAAACTTAACAAAACTAACCCTTCGTATACACGTACACATTACGCATACACCACGTGTATATATGCATATACATCTATATATATATATACATATATATTATAATTACATTACGAGAGAATTTTACACTCTATATTATACATTTTTTGTCATAAATTGCCGACTATTTGAATCCATACTTATGAATTTATTCAGGTTTTTTCTATCGCCAACTAACTATGGGACTAATATCGCTGAACTCTCATTAACTCCATAAATATATTTGTAAATTATCCATCGTGGACGATATGTATCTCTGCATCGTTTCGTACATAAGTGATTAGCGAGAACGATTGCGATTAATTCGCAAAATTCAATCAATCGATCCTTGCTTTGGTTAACTTTAAATTAATCTTGAATTCGGGAAATTTCTAACATCGCGATATCTCCTCGCCTCTGAAACACCTTGTACGTACAAGAAAAGAATGCTTCTTTTTAACGATTAGCAAGCCACGAGATGCTCTCCGACTTTTCGAAATGTACCAAGGAACAATTCGTCGACTAGGCATATTTCGCTAGCACGATTGACCAAGCGATCGTATGTACGCAAAAGTAAGAAGAACGAAGAAGAGAAGCTAGGTTGAAATTTCGATTCTCCTCTGGCTGACGTATGCGTGTGCGTGTATGTGTGTGTGCGTGCGGACGCGTGTGTGTCACAAATGGTGGATCGTTGTTAATGAAAAAGTAATGGTCGTCACTGGCCCGCCAACGATTCGAAACTCGAGATTAATCGGATCGTCCTCGCACCTCACTTTGTACTCACGAAACCTTACGTAGTACGTATGTATAATCTGTATACATGTAAGACGAATTACCATTCAAACACTGTTGTATATCAGCACAAAACTAATCTTTTATTCTTAATACCAACGTAGCGCGCGCGCGCGCACGCACACGTGCACGCACGCACGCACGCGTAGCTGGCATCGTAGTCACACGCGTTTGGCCGCGCGTTTGTACATACGCGTATGCTACGGATACGTATTACTAAGTTTTACTGTTAAACTGGAATACATTAAACGTATGGCGCAGAACAATGAGAGACATAGGGGGAGAACAATATTGAAGGCGTTCAATAGCTTGCTTCTCGTTTACCAGAATTTAGTTTTGTCAGAGGCTAGCTATAGACGAAATTAAGAGAAACAGAGAGAAAGATATAGGTGAGAAAGGGAAAAGGAGAGAACAAGAAAGAAAGGAAACGAAAGAGAACAAGCGAGAAAGAGAGAGAGAGGGGGGGGAGAGAGAGAGGGGGAGAGAGACTGGAGAGAATGAGAGTGAGAAAATAAAGAAATGAAAGAATGGAGAGAATGAGAGTGAGAAAATAAAGAAATGAAAGAATGAAGAGAATGAGAGTGAGAAAATAAAGAAATGAAAGAATGGAGAGAATGAGAGTGAGAAAATAAAAAAGTAAAAGAATGGAGAGAATGAGAGTGAGAAAATAACGAAATGAAAGACTGGAGAGAACGCGAGGAGAGAATGATGCGGAAGATAAGTAAGAACAGTGTCAAAGAGACAAGAGAAAGAGGAAAAAAGAGTGATGATGACAATAATAATGCCAATGCGATTCGTACCGCAAACGAAATGATACAGTTAATAACTATGAAAATAATGAAACGTGCACCGACAAGCAAACAAAATATTCCCTTTTTATTCATTTACGCAGCAATACTTGTCATATTCATCGATATGTATATATGTTTCGCTTGTTGTTTAATTATACACTATTATTGATTTACCGTTGTATAATTCATATGTTGTAACTATGTGGTAATATTTTGCTTAATCCGTTACTGGTATAATATATATGTATGGAAATGTGTTAAACATTATTTTATTTTAATACTTTCTATACTTCTTTTTGTACAAATATCATTATCTATTCTATCATATTGAAGGAATATTTCATCGTAATGTGAAGTAGTTTAATTCGTATCTTATGTTTCTTTCGTTATTACGTGCTCAGTTTTACGTTATTTGCTCCATTATTTATATATTCCTACCGTTAATCGCAAATGAAATTCTTATCGATTACGAAATCAGGATTCGTAAAAATTACGATGCCATTATAATTTGTAATCACGATAAAGATTGTGGGACGAATCGCAACGCGTAGCCGTTGCATGAGTGTATGATTCATACAAAAATACTATAAAGTTTAAATTGTTTTATATTTTTGTTACGCCTCTCTGTGATATAATAAGGGCACATTCACCTCACCCTGTATATGCATTAATCTTTGTATCTTATTGATTAAGGTGAAACTTTTTGAAGAACAATCCTTGCCAAGCCCTTCCTAATTACATTTCCGATTATGCTCGTGCGTACCATCGTCGTCAAGTTGAAAGAGAATCAAAATCATGGATGCTTAAACGAATATAAAAGTATTCGAGCAAGTTACCGATACTATTCTATTTAAATGAACTTAAGGGAATTGTTAATTAAAATATTTATGTAATTCGTATACAGACTGAATCGTTTAAAATAACTACGTAAAATATCTAAAATATGTGTAATTTATTGATCAATCTTATAATAATTACTTCATTGCTGTTAAAGAAAATTGGAAGAAATGATATAACAAATTGAAGAAATATTTTTCTTTTATAGAAAGTTCATTCTTTACATACTAAAAGAAGTATTTATCGACTATTTTTTTAGTTCATAATAAGAAAACAGTGTTAAAGTGTAAACAAAATTGATGGTAAACAAAAATTTAACAAACTATTTTCGACAGTAATTTTAATTGATTCAGTCTACGAAATTGCTTGTTTCCAAAAAAAAGAGATGTAAAAGCAAATTACCTGTATATTATTAAATAGTTCAATTCGATCGTGTATGTACTTTTACTCCTCAGTTTTATAATCTCGATGTTACATGTGTATTTCAAAGTATAGATTCGTTGAATGGAAGATGTACATGGAAATTTATCTAGATTTAAAATTATTAATTTTAGCAATAGCAACATATCCCTTAAGATAAGGTACGTTCGAGCTCGTGCTTGTGAAAGGTATAACGTATATCGTTACACACTACATTATGCTATATGAATTATAAACAAAAGCAAAAAAAACCTTACACTAAAAACTGTGAAAAGAAATATATTATAAATGAAAACGCTGATCACTATACAAATGTGTAATAAATACACGAAGTATCATGTACTATTAACTATACATGATCATTGTTAATCATGGTTGCGGTTCTATTTACACGATTCGTTTACTGAATAAATTCGAAACAAATATATTTAAAGTAATAACCAATGTCATCCACTTCATAATTATCATCTTAAATCCCTATACAAATTTTTAGAATATAATTTTGTAATTTTTTATTTAAATTTTTTGAATATAAATATTTTTAATTTAAATTGCTTAAAATTACAGCTGTCAATAGTAATAATTATAATTAAGAATAAAAATCTTTGATCTATAATAACATCAATTATTAATTTTACTATATTATCCTAGCAAGAAACTCGATTTCCATAGAAAATGGAACACATACATTAAAGCAAAGTTAAATTGCGTAGAAATCGGAAGACATCTTGTAAATAAGATACGTCAAAATTTCCAATAAGTCCATCCACGATTCGGGAAAACAGTATTGTGCGTGTTTTTAAAAGAATATTTTGTTTTCACCTTTTAACCTCTAAAAATAATGAATAGATTTGAATACGCTGATTCTCGGCTTTTTCCAAATGAAATTTATGTGAGACGTGATATTGGCATATGCTTATATGACGGTGATGTCAAGGTATGTATGATTAATTGTACCGTTCATCAAGAGAGTAGAACATAACCTCTAATTTCTTGACAGACAAATTTTGAAAGTGGTGAATTAGTACTTACCAGTCACAGATTTCTTTGGGGAAGACCTGGTGATATATCACGTGGTTATAAATGCCTTTCGTTATCTCTTTCTCATATAGTTTTCTTTGAGGAAGAGACTCCTGGACTGTTTTCCTTTGGACGTAGTAAAAAACTTATTATACAACTTTCTGAAGCTCCAATTGGTATATTCTAATTATGAAATATAAGTAAAAGTATTAGTAATGTATAATTTTTTTAAAATAATTTGTTTTTATAGATAAAATGCCTGGTCCACTAGATAATAGCATACATAACTATATTAAATTATCATTCAAAGAAGGTTTAGATCCAAATTATCATACACATTTGTCTGATGCTCTTCAAAGGCGAATTTGGGAATTAACACCTATCATGCCTTTAAATCATCCTAATATTAACATAAGAAATAGTGGAGACATAAGTAAACCTCTGCCACAAATAAAAACACGAACTGGTATCATAGGTATTGAAAGAAGCCTCCAGGAACAGCAAAAGGCAACAGATGAAAGTATATCAATGGCTTTTCAAGATTTGAAGAAACTCATAGAAATGGCTAAAGACATGGTTTCCATTTCCAAAACAATCTCAGCAAAAATACGGGTGATTCTCGACAAGATTACTTTGTAAAATTGACATTTGTAATCAAGGACCATTGCAGGAGAGACAAGGAGATATCACAGAAGATGAAACAGTCAGATTTAAATCCTACTTAATGAGCCTTGGCATCGATGACCCTGTTACCAGAGATACATACAAGAACAGTAATGAATATTTCAAGCAATTGGCAAACCAACTTGCCGATATTTTAGAAGAGCCAATTAAGGTTAATATACTTAATAATCATTTCTAAACTTATAATATGTAATAGATACATATTAAATTCCATTCTGCAGGAAGTTGGTGGAATGATGACATTAACAGATGTTTATTGTCGTGTAAATAGAGCTAGAGGCTTGGAACTACTGTCACCAGAAGATTTATTAAATGCTAGTAGACAGTTAGCACCTTTGTGTTTGCCTGTAGTATTAAGAGTATTCGATAGTGGAGTTATGGTTCTTCAAGCTCGGTCACACGATGATAATGCTATAGTTGATGTTATAGCTAACCAAGTAAGTTATATATTTAAACAATTTTTGTACTAAGTTTAACTTTTCTTCTTTTTTACAGATAAAAGAAAGAGGATCTTTAACAGCAGAAGAACTTGCTCGATCAGATGGTATATCAGTTTTGTTAGCACGTGAAAGGTTGTTGGTTACAGAAAAAAAAGGGAAAGCATGTAGAGATGATACAATTGAAGCTTTAAGATTCTACCCTAATTTATTTTTGCAAAAGGATGATTAATTTTCTTACTGCTACATAAATATAAGAATGCATTAAATTTTAAATAAACGTATTATTTTTATGACATAAAAATAACTTAAAATTTCATATATTTTTTGTGCTTTTACATATTGCACATATAGAATAAATTCACATTAAGCATTAAACATTGTATGATATACAATAATGCATTGATTTAAAAAAAAGAAAAATTTATGATTTTTACTTTATAATTGATACCTATATCAATTACCAATAATGCTGTAAAAATGTTAAATTGAAATTAATAAAATATAATCGTTAAAAGTACTATTTAAGTATATGTACATAAATAAATAATTATACAATCTATGTATACACATATGTAAATAAATAATTTACTTGTTACTCGTGCAATAATGATTTATTTACAAGGTAACTACAGTATCTACAATTTATTTGTCCCAATGAATTATGCAAACAACTAGAGAAATTGTGCTTAATCGAAACTGTAGTAATATATATTTAGTGATTTTAGAAAGTTGGCAACATTATACGTATAAGGCAACGCCGGAATGAACTCTAAAACTTATTGAAAATGCTGTTTATTTAAAGATTCTGATCAATTAATTTGAAACATGAGTCAGAAACATAGTGGTTATAAAAGTATAGTTTTAACTTAAGACTGGAATGAGGAAAAGATATTTTTGTTGTGAAATTTAAGACATTATTTATAACGGTCTTGTACATAGTACTATGATCTAATGAATTTCTTGAAGCTTGAAACACGTTATATTTTTTCTCAATTGCAAATGATATAAAAGTTAACAATATCTATATATTAAGTGTATTTGTTATATAACTGAAGAAATAAAACTCATTCAGCATAAAAAATGGCTTTGCCTCCAAATTATAAGCAAGTGGCAATGGCTACATCAAATATTGTTGCATCTAATCGTAAGCATTATTAATCTTAAAATCATTTAATTGCTTATAATATAGTTCTTAATCTATAAGTATTTAAATAAATATAATTACATTTTAGAACGACTTAGAGCATCTGGTGGAAGTAGTAGTAGTTCAACTAATAGTGTAAGTAAACTTCTTATGTAAATTATATATACATATGCTTTAGATATAAAATTAATGTTTACAACAATCCATAGAAAGATGCACAAAGCCCATTTATTCAAACACCTCATAGTCATCCAGGATTTACACCACAAAAAGTTGGAAAGAATACAAGTGTATGTACATTTATTATACAATAAATATTTCCTATTAATACCAGGGTAAGATTATATAAATCTATCAAATAATAATGATACTTGTATAAATAAACAATACTTGTATACTTGTATAAATACCAAACTTTTTTTACATTAATGGAATAGGCTGATTCTCGCATGCCAAAACCACCTAAGCCACCGGAAAAACCTCTTATGCCTTATATGAGATACAGTAGGAAAGTTTGGGATCAAGTAAAAGCTCAAAACCCAGAATTGAAGTTATGGGAAATAGGAAAAATTATTGGACAAATGTGGCGAGATTTGCCAGAGGAAGACAAAACAGAATTCATTGAAGAATACGAAACAGAAAAGGTAAAACTAAAAATTGGTATTATTACATCTGCAAAAATACATATTAATCCTATTTATATGTTAAATAGGTTGAATATGAGAAAAGTCTAAAAACTTATCACAATTCACCTGCATATTTAGCTTACATTGCAGCTAAAAATAGGGGAAAATCTGGTAAGTATTTACATTTATAAATATATAAATATATTTGTTTTATACAAAATTTGTTATATATTTTTATTTTAATCATAGCGTTATGCGCGGCTCAACAAAGTAATGATGATCGAGAAAGTCATGAACGTTCGTCAGGCAGTACTAAAGGACAAGCAGCTCAAGATAGAAGAATAGACATTTTGCCTGCAGAAGATGATGATGGTACATAAATTTAAGTAACTTAAATGAGAAAGTATAGCTTATTATATAAATGTTCCTATTTTACAGACCAAGATGATGGATATTCTGTAAAACACGTCGCATATTCCCGATATACTCGAAATCATCGTCTTATTAATGAAATATTTAGCGATACCGTTGTTCCTGATGTTCGCTCCGTTGTTACTACACAACGAATGCAAGTACTACGCCGCCAAGTACAATCTTTAACAATGCATCAGGTATATATGTATGATAAAGAAAAAAGTAACATTTTAATTACAATATCGTCATTTTAAATGTTATAGAAAAAACTAGAAGCAGAATTGCAACAAATAGAAGAAAAATTTGAAGCAAAAAAACGTAAATTTATTGAAACAAGTGAAATATTTCAAGAAGAATTGAAAAAAGTAAGTTGTTATTTTTTAATAAAATCAGTATTTAAATATAAAAACAAAAATGTTTTTTTCAGCACTGTAAACCAGCTGTAGATGAAGAAGCGTTAAATAAAATGGTAGAACGGCAATATGAGGCACTTAGACGAGATAGATTGAAAGGTGCAGAAGAAAATCGTTCAGATGGACCTGCATCTAGTGAATCCACTCCAAATTCTACACCTACTCCAACTCCTGCTCCTATTAATGATGAAACTCCATCTGATGTAAGTATGATTTGAATGATTGTGATTCTAACATTCACTGATTATGAACTTTTTCTAGGTTCCTGATAATGATGCGATAGATAAGAAGACAAATGGATCTGATAAATCTAGTAATGAAATTAAGAAAGAAACATCTTCACCATCGTATACCGAAAATAAACCAGAACCTCCATCAGCTCAAGGAAATTCTAATCAACATACATCCAGTTCTGGAATGTATTGTGGAACTATTAGTCCAATACAACAACAGCAACAACAAACGCCACCGTTGCCACCACCACCACCACCACCATCGCAACAGCAACAACAATCTCCATCACAGCCACAATCGCAACAGCAAGCACCACCAACACAACATCAACAGTCACCATCTCAGTCACATCAACAGCATCAACAACAACAACAACAGCAGCAACAACCACCACCACCAACTCAACAATCACAACCATCTTTACAACCACAGCAACCTACTACTACAACAGCAGTTGCTGTAGCTGCTAATACAAGTACACCTGCAAGTGCAAATGCAACTACGCCGACTATGCCTCCCGTTTCTTCGCCGGCACCTCCTATACAACATAATCCTCATCAACAAGGAATGTTAACTAATCATTCAATACCATCTCATCAAGGAACACAAGGAACCCAGGGAACACAGGTGCTTCCACCTCAGGGACAAGTTTCTAATCCACATACTTCTCAGATGATTTCACCAAACCAAAGCTACAATCAGCAATATCAACCAGGACCTACTCAACAGGCTCAAAATGTTCCATTAGCTCCAAGACCTCCACATCCATCTTATGCTTACTCTCAACAACAACCATATCATCAACCATATCCTCAATATCCACATCCATATTATCATCAACCATATTCACAATATTCACCACATACAATGGGCCGCCCTCATAGCCATGGTCCGCATAGTCCACACAGTCCTCATTATCATCCACAATCTCCTCATGCTGTTGGAGAGAATACTACTAATAACAGTGTACCTAGTTCAAACACTGCTTCTACACCAACTTCTGATGCTAGTAATTCATCTTATTCTCCAGCATCAGGACATTGTGAAAATGAACGTTCTGTTTCTTCAGAGAATCAAGAAGGCCAACCAGATATTAAATCAGGATCTGGTTAATTATTTTTTATAATTGCATACATCTATTTATAGGTTTTCCTTGATTTTATGTAAACCATAAAATTACATTTAAATAAGATTGATGCATTTAAACAGTTATAATAAAATTGTCATATTCATTTCAGTTTGTACAATAAAAATGTATTACTAATTTTTTTTTTTTATTTTGAGAATATTGTAATTGGAATCATCACTTCACAGCACATCTTATCTTAAAAATGCCAAAAAGTGCATTCATACAACAGTCAAGAAAGATACCTGTATGTTACATTTTGAACAATATACATCAGTCTTTTATTTCACAGATTTCATTTGCCAAAGTCCATCATTTAAATAATGACAATTTTCTATGCCTATTCCTTTGTTCACCTTAATTCTGTAAATTATATACTATTATAATACATAAAATACTTTTCATATTTTTCACATCAGACATTATAGCTTTTATTTACTTACATATCTTCTGTTGACAATGTAGTAACACCCACAGCTAAAGCATGTTGCTTGCCTTCTGCCATAACAGCCTATATTTTAAGTTAAGAATTTAATAATCCTAATATTTAAAGTTAAATAATTTGTTATTTTGATAAAGGATACAACAACTGTTCCCTTTTCTACAGGTGTCATCTTTGCACCTTTTGATGTTAAACCAGGACACATAATATTAGCTCCACTAAGAACGAACCGGATAGCACCTTTATCAACTTGTTGCATTGGTAAAAAAAATGGGTCTAAAAGTTTTAAATGTGTTGAAGGAAAATAAATTATATTTTATTTAAAATTGATTTTTTTAATAATTATTTATCATGTTTAGAAAAAATATGACTTACATTTATGTAACAATCTTAAAGTGGGCATCCAAGATCCCTCGCGTTGACGGAAAAACAAAAGATCTCCTGTTGCATTTACTATAATTTCTATATGATCATGACTAATCATAAAATACATATAAATAAAATTACTAAATATAGCATATGTAAAATAAGTTATTCTTAAATAAATTTACCATTTCACTAGTCGAAAAGCATCCTTTTTTGGAATTATAGCATCTATATGACCATCTAAATGAGGATATAGTTCTAAAAGTTTTGAACGAATTCCTTTCTGGACTGATGATTTTAGTTGCTGTATACTAGAAACACTGTCTTTTTCATCAAATCTAATAGAATATTAACAATGAGTGTTATTACTACTAAATAAAGGTTATATTTTAACAATGGATGAAAAAATACACGTACTTTCTAAACATTTTCCTCCTGTTTACAAAATAGTATTAAAAGTCACAGAATTGTTAGTATATGAAAAGTACATTCAACTGACTAATTCTTAGCGTAAATTTTAATTTACAAAAGATTGGATGCAAACCGGTATATGCTGCGTGTGAACATATGACTATATGTATCATACGTACAGATCAATGTTTGTATGCATACAATGCATACGATGCATGTGAAATGTATTTTTAATATTACATAATGAAATAATTTCAATTATATTACAAAGAAATAGTAGATTAATAGTAATAACATATTATAATGAGCAAAAATTTTCAAATTATAGTAATTTAAAATTACAAAATATTTATAAAATATACTATAAAATACTATATATTGAATACTTATTTACATATAAATATATGATTATATAAACTTAAATAAATTTAAAATGAAGTTTCATTTTTTAATAAAAGATTTTTAATAAAATAATATTATTTAAAAAACTAAAAATTTAAGAAGTTTATAATATTTCTTAGTGCCATTTATATTACGTTCTACTTGTACATTAATAGGTAGTTTCTGGTTTTAATATTTGAATTTTATATTTCCATAATGCAGTTGGTAATTGTATGTTTCCGTAATGCAAAATGGAAACATGGCGGGGATGCTAACTAACTGTGGTGTACATCGTTGTGATTGTATAGTTTCTCTCTTGGTGCGTTTATAATTTTTAAATGTTATTATCACATATTTATCTTTATTTTAATTAAATTTTTTTAGGTGTATCATTTAGGGTTATCATTTTTTTATCTTAAAATATTATTTTCTAAATTATTAAAAAAATTTTCATTTTCTATTCATTAACTTAAGCAGAAAAAAGTTGTTTAAGTACTTAATTAATTTACGAGTTTATGTTTATTACAAACATTGCATAAGACTATATTTATTTATAATATTTATGTACTTTCATTCATAAAATGTATCAATATAATGTCTTTGTATCTATGCTAGATAATATATTTTCTTATCACTTTTCATATATATTTCTGTCTTCTTTTTTTAAAATAATTAGTATTTTAAAAGGTATAACAAGTTTATTACTACAAAATTGTATTTGTAATATAAAAATAACTATAGATTATAGGACAGGCAGAATTATGTCATAAAGTTTCTGAAGGATTACATGAAAGTGCAAAAGGAAGAAAATGGCATATTGTTGTACATCAATGTGAATTTGTTACTGAAATCACACAATTAAATATAAGTCTTAATGTAGATTTTATTATTTTTGCTTTTGATTGGAGAACTACTCAGTCTTTATCTGAAGTAAGTACATAATTTATTTTTAACATTTATAATCTATAAAATATCACAGTAATATAACATTGAAGGAACATTATTGTTTAAGGTAGAAACAAATATAAGTCTCATAGATGAACATTATATTATTTCTGGAGCTGTATGTTTTGTAAATTGCCAAGGAATTTCAAATATTATGGGGTTGACTTCCTACAAATCAGCAAAAATACGAGAGAAATACAACATTAGATTTTTATCTGCTAATGTTTTTGTAAGTTTATATATATATATATATTTTTTTTTCTTTAGTTTGTAGTTATTATATTATATTAATTTTTGTTTCTTCTAGAAGCCACAAATTTGTGTTCAATTAGGTAATAGAATATTAAATTTAGTAGAAGCTATATTAGGCATAACAAGTGGAATTCCTACTGTTGGACTATTAGTATAAAATTTTATATAACTTGGACTTATATTTTTAATAATAAAATGAAGAAAGCAAGTAGTAAAAATCAAGCATATGCTTCTAGTCAAGAAGATAGTGAAAATGATAGTGATGAAACTGAATGCAGCATTGGCAGTAATTCAACAGCAGGTACTCATCGTAGTGATACTCCTACCCGCAGTGCTCGTTATAAAAGAAAAGGTCGACGTAGAAGTAAAACAGCAAAATATAAACCATGTACAGATAAGCCACTTTATAAGTATTGCTGCAGTGTTAAAGAAGATCATGGGCAGCCATTGTTTGGAGTACAGTTTAATCATCATTTGAAAGAAGGTGAACCATTAATATTTGCTTCAGTGGGAAGCAATCGAGTAAGCATTTATGAATGTCCAGAAGGAGGAAATATCAGACTACGTCAATGTTACGCAGATCCTGATCCAGAAGAAAATTTTTATACTTGTACTTGGACTTATGATGATTCTGGAAAACCTTTACTAGCAGTGGCTGGATCACGTGGTGTTGTAAGAGTTATTAGTCCTGTAACTATGACTTGCATTAAACACTATATTGGACATGGTCATGCAATAAATGAATTAAAAATTCATCCTAAAGATCCAAACATATTACTTTCTGCATCAAAAGACCATGCTCTTAGACTATGGAATATAAAAACTGATGTATGTATAGCAATATTCGGTGGTGTTGAAGGTCATAGAGATGAAGTTTTAAGTGCTGATTTTGATATGAAAGGGGAACGTATTATTTCATGTGGCATGGATCATGCTTTGAAATTATGGTCATTAGATAAACCTGATATGCAAGAAGCAATAAAGCAATCCTACTATTGTAACCCTAGTCGTAATGGAAGACCATTTGATTCAATACTTCAGCACTTTCCAGATTTTACTACACGTGATGTTCATCGTAATTATGTTGATTGTGTCAAATGGTATGGTGACTTTATTTTAAGTAAATCTTGTGAAAATTGTATTGTTTGTTGGAAACCAGGACGTCTTGAAGATTCTCAGCTACGGAATGGAGAAACAAGTGCTACTGTGTTACATAGGTTTGAATTCAAGGAATGTGATATATGGTTTATACGATTTTCAATGGATTTTTGGCAGCGTACAATAGCTTTAGGAAATCAAGTGGGTAGAACATATGTATGGGATTTAGAAGTTGATGAACCTGGTCAAGCACGCTGTTACTCGCTCCAACATCCTAGATGTACTGCACCTATACGTCAGACTAGCTTAAGCAGAGACGGTTCAGTTTTATTATGTGTTTGTGATGATGCTACTGTATGGAGATGGAATCGAGAACATTAATATTCCCATAATACATAAAATGGTGCCTTTATATTTACATAGTCTACTGTATTAAATGCTTTTTACTGCCTTTATAATTACCATAGATAGTAAATTGTAAATGTACATCAATATATTTATTACTTAAATGTAATAATTTTTATTCATAAGTAACTTATGAAAAAATTAAACTTTAGATATATTTACATATCTTATTATTGATTATAACATCCTCATCTTAAAAAATGAGGAATTAGTATTTTATACATGAAACTGCAACATGAATTTTGGAAAGAAGAGTAAATATAGTTATTATATTACACTCATAAAAGCTATAGAAAATGCTCTAGTAATAGAATATTAAATTTAGTAGAAGCTATATTAGGCATAACAAGTGGAATTCCTACTGTTGGACTATTAGTATAAAATTTTATATAACTTGGACTTATATTTTTAATAATAAAATGAAGAAAGCAAGTAGTAAAAATCAAGCATATGCTTCTAGTCAAGAAGATAGTGAAAATGATAGTGATGAAACTGAATGCAGCATTGGCAGTAATTCAACAGCAGGTACTCATCGTAGTGATACTCCTACCCGCAGTGCTCGTTATAAAAGAAAAGGTCGACGTAGAAGTAAAACAGCAAAATATAAACCATGTACAGATAAGCCACTTTATAAGTATTGCTGCAGTGTTAAAGAAGATCATGGGCAGCCATTGTTTGGAGTACAGTTTAATCATCATTTGAAAGAAGGTGAACCATTAATATTTGCTTCAGTGGGAAGCAATCGAGTAAGCATTTATGAATGTCCAGAAGGAGGAAATATCAGACTACGTCAATGTTACGCAGATCCTGATCCAGAAGAAAATTTTTATACTTGTACTTGGACTTATGATGATTCTGGAAAACCTTTACTAGCAGTGGCTGGATCACGTGGTGTTGTAAGAGTTATTAGTCCTGTAACTATGACTTGCATTAAACACTATATTGGACATGGTCATGCAATAAATGAATTAAAAATTCATCCTAAAGATCCAAACATATTACTTTCTGCATCAAAAGACCATGCTCTTAGACTATGGAATATAAAAACTGATGTATGTATAGCAATATTCGGTGGTGTTGAAGGTCATAGAGATGAAGTTTTAAGTGCTGATTTTGATATGAAAGGGGAACGTATTATTTCATGTGGCATGGATCATGCTTTGAAATTATGGTCATTAGATAAACCTGATATGCAAGAAGCAATAAAGCAATCCTACTATTGTAACCCTAGTCGTAATGGAAGACCATTTGATTCAATACTTCAGCACTTTCCAGATTTTACTACACGTGATGTTCATCGTAATTATGTTGATTGTGTCAAATGGTATGGTGACTTTATTTTAAGTAAATCTTGTGAAAATTGTATTGTTTGTTGGAAACCAGGACGTCTTGAAGATTCTCAGCTACGGAATGGAGAAACAAGTGCTACTGTGTTACATAGGTTTGAATTCAAGGAATGTGATATATGGTTTATACGATTTTCAATGGATTTTTGGCAGCGTACAATAGCTTTAGGAAATCAAGTGGGTAGAACATATGTATGGGATTTAGAAGTTGATGAACCTGGTCAAGCACGCTGTTACTCGCTCCAACATCCTAGATGTACTGCACCTATACGTCAGACTAGCTTAAGCAGAGACGGTTCAGTTTTATTATGTGTTTGTGATGATGCTACTGTATGGAGATGGAATCGAGAACATTAATATTCCCATAATACATAAAATGGTGCCTTTATATTTACATAGTCTACTGTATTAAATGCTTTTTACTGCCTTTATAATTACCATAGATAGTAAATTGTAAATGTACATCAATATATTTATTACTTAAATGTAATAATTTTTATTCATAAGTAACTTATGAAAAAATTAAACTTTAGATATATTTACATATCTTATTATTGATTATAACATCCTCATCTTAAAAAATGAGGAATTAGTATTTTATACATGAAACTGCAACATGAATTTTGGAAAGAAGAGTAAATATAGTTATTATATTACACTCATAAAAGCTATAGAAAATGCTCTGATTGTTCATATAAAATATTTTTTCCATTAGCATGATTTTTCCACAAAATAAAGTAATTTTGTACAAATATTTTAGTATTTTATTGCATAAGTAAATGTTAATCTAACCCTACTTATCAAATATATTTCTTTCGAAAAAAAAACAAACATAAATATTAAGGACGAATTTTTTTTATAATACAAATAACTTCATTTTTTAATATAAAGAACTTGTTTTAAAATATATAATTATTAATTTCTTAATTATTTACTGTAATTTATATATTAAACTTGTAATTGTTATTATATTTCTAAATTTTTGTTTTATACATATCATTTCATGATTTGTAAAAATATACGAAATTACCTGTAATGAGCTTAGAACTAAGCAATAGTAAAAAATAATAGTTATGGAAGACTAAAGCAATTAATTGAAGTTGTATATCATTTATCCATAAACAGAACTAAACAAAAATTTCATATAAAATACACAATAATTAAAAAATTGAATATTTATACATTTTAAATACAATATTCTCTTAGTAGATTTAATAAATAAGTGCCAAAATGTGATTTAAATGTAAACATGAAATGTGCTTAAATAGGAAATTTTGATTTTATGAATAATTGCTTAATAATGAATTAACAACTACAGCACTTCTTTTTGCTTCTTTGGAATCTTTATCTTCATCTTGTTGTTGTATATCCGGTTGTCCTCTAATTCTAATATTGTGCTTCTCCTTGAATTCATTTATTTCAATTCCTTTTTTTGTTAACTGATCACTCAAAGCATCTATCACTTTTGTTAACTATAAATTATCAAATACATTTCATTTATAATACAACTTTAACTTTTAACAAATTTTTAAGAACTATATGTAGCATTACAATATTATGTATTATTTGTACATAATATTATCTTGAAAAAGTAAAAATAAAATAAACTTTACTTGTTCTTTATTTGTCATTAATGCAGGCATTACGACTTCTACAGTACGTTCACATAAGACACCACCAGTCATTCGATAGCATTTCCTTTTTGGGTCTATATTTTTTAGTGTATCAATTACAATCCTAAAAAATTAAAAAATATTAGAAAATTGCAAATCATTTTAGCAATAACTGAATGATAATATGTATGATACCTGAAAAAAGGTACATTATAACTTAATGCAATGCTTTATATATTTAGAGATAAATTTGTAATATTTTTTTAATAAAATTTCTATTACAATTTCGTCACATATAAAATTAAAAAATATTTAATTGTTATCTATTTGCAATATTTTAAATATATATTCACGAGTAATGGTAGTAAAGTAATAATATAATACTTATTATAATATAGGTTAGAAAACACATACTTATGTTCATTTAATTCCATCTCCATTTCTGACAATTTATTAGCCATTGCTCTTTGTTCATTACGAAGCATTTCGAATTCAGATAATATTTGTGTAATAGACTTCGTACTTTTTGATGATTTTCCTGATTTTTTATCGCTGGCCATATTAGGAGCTTTATATTACTTTCTCATCCGTTAGATTCACCAATGCTTCTGCCGCGTGACGTTTCTACTTATGACTATACATAAAGGTTCATCTTAAAAGATAAACATATTTCTTTTTGTATTAAAGAACCAGACTCATAAATCGTGATATCTGAAAACTACTATATGTATAGCAATATTTGCTGATATTAAAGATCAGAGAGATGAAATTTTAAGTATAGACTTCGATAACAATGAAAAATGTACTATTTGGTGTGGCATTAATTATGAATTTAAATTATATTCATCAAATCAACATGATATGCAAAAAGTAATAAAAAAAAGTTCTATTATTATAATCCTAGTGTAATAAAAAATCATTAAATTAAATATTTCTTTATTTTCTAGATTTTATTACACATGATATTTATTGCTATTATGTTGATCATATTGAACGATTTAATGACATTATTTTTAAAAAATCTTGTTGAAATTGTATTGTTTGTTATCATATTGAATCATCTTTAAGATTCTTTTCTACATAGTAGAAAAACAAGTATTTTTTTTATGGAGATTTGAATTTAAAAAATGCGATATTTAATTTGTACGTTTTTTCTTTATAGATGTTGTAACAAATTAATCGAGGAAATTAAATATGTAAAACATACGTGGATCATAAATGTTGATGAATCTAATCAAACATGCTATTGGTCATTATATCATCTAAAATGTACTTCATTGGTATATTAAACTAGCTTGAGCAAAAGTGATTTAATTTTGTTATGTGTTTGTGATAATGGTATTGTATGGAAATGGCATTATGAATACATAATAAGCTTAATCAAAACCTTGTTTTTAAAATTATGATAAATAGTAATCCTATGACTAACTTATGACTGCAGCAATCCTATGACTATATGATACATCTTATGTCAAAAATAATATTTGTGGGAGACTGAAGCAATTATTTGAAGTTGTATACCATTTATCTATAAACAAAAAGTAATAAGTATTTCATTTAAAACGCATAATCATTAAAAAATTTAATATTTATACAATTTAAATACAATATTCTTTTAAACAATTCAATAAATAAGTGCCAAAATTAACCATTGCTCTTTGTTTTTTGCAAAGCATGTGAAATTCAGATATTTGTGTAGTAGACTTTGTACCTTTTAAAGCCTTTTCAAATTTTTTATCGCTAGACATATTTACTACTGTATATTAATTCACCCATGACGTTTACTAATTTTTTGCCTAGAGTGATGTTCCTATTTAAGATCGATTTATACATAAACATGTTAAATAAATTCAAATTTTATGCAATTGCAACGTAACGATGTCTATTTCATTATTTTGAATATATTAAAATTTTATATTATGATAAGATAATTTAAATTTTATTTTATTGCACTAAAAAGATTACATTTCAGTAAAAAATATTAATTTTTGTTACATTATTTTTTCAAAGCTATAAAAGTATATCATATATGGGAAATAAAAGTATTATTTATATTATAGTATAATATTTGCATTAATTTAAACATATTTTATACTCTTTGTTTTGTAAAGGGAAATTTGATATTTGTAAATAAATATTAATGTAATAATTAATCTCTTTATTACTTTTTTTTTTACATTCTATGAAATCAGAACTTTATTTTGTGCGTATCATTTTCTTCTTTCACAAAATATAGCAATGTCCTACAAAAGTAAATTACCAGTATATTATATTTTACAAAGAGTGAAAGAAAAGCAATATATCATATTAAAAAGAAATATGCCAAAAAATTGTTATTTATACATTAGTTGTATACTTTGTTTATCACTTAATACATTCATCATGCTCACACATAAATAAAAAATTTCAGATAAAACTACTCACAACAACATTACATACTTGTAAAAATGTCGAATTAGGAGAATTTTTATGTCCCTAAACATAAATATTCTTAACTTAGTACAATCTTAAATAACAATTTATGAGCAGAAGCAAGTGACATATATTTTTTCTTGTTATTTAATAATGATATGTTAAATACCTTTTTAAGTGTATGTAAATTTCCACTCATCATACCAAATTATTTTATCTTTTAATATCTAAATTTAAATATTACAAAGGAATGTAAAGAAAATGAGTATTATAACATTCAAAATTTTGTTGCATAACAAATTTCATTATTATAGTGATCGCTTTATTATATATTTAAGATATATATACTTTATATACACATATTAATGTAAGAATACTATGCCTATTATTTACTGTACAAAAATCTTAATAGCAAGCAGAATCTCAAACACAATATAATATTATCAGCCTTCCAAAATAAAATGTAATAATAACTATTTAACACGAAAAGTATTTAAAAGATATACAAGGTTAAAATTAATACATCCAACACTATTGAATGTGTGAAATTGTATCTGATTAGCATAAAATAATGTATGTAATAGGTGTACAGCATACAATAAAAACTATAAAAGCATTAATATTTGACTTTTGTGATCAAATATTAGAGTAGTGATATATTGAAATAATAAAATTAATTTATGAATAGTTTAAATACATATTTTCATTTTTTAAATACAGAATTTTAAATGATATAAAATCAAAAATACTTTATACCATAATATTTTCATTTGATAATGTATTTCTTGTGAAATATAAAATCATAAATTTCTAAAAATGTTTTGCTCTGAAATTTTGTTTGGTTATCACAACAGCAAGTTTTTTCTATATGTTATTACTTAACATATTTCCTTAAGAGTTATAAAGCTTTTAATTATTATTAATAAATATAAACAACTTAAGGATAACCATATTTATAAATTGTAAGAAATTTTACTTTAAAATATTTCGAGTAGTAAATATATAAGATAAACCAAAAATAAAACTTAATTTGTTTTGTTATAGAAGAAATTAATATCTTTGAATTAATAGATACACATATTACATATTATCTATTCATACATATATATACTATAAATGCATATGTATAAATTGGACAGCATTATCATACAAATACTTTGTAGGAATGTATCTTTCTTTTTATTTAAAATATTTCATTTCAAATATTTTTCTTATATGTTATAAAAATTGTAATAAATTTAAATAAATAAGAAATTTTTATACAATGAAAATAAAAAAGTGTTGAATATGCAATAAATAATATGTTAATTGCAGAACTCTTCTTCTAAATTATATTTAAGTAATTTTGCAAAGTTGTTTAAAAAGCAAAGCAATTTTCTTATTCAATTAAGTATATAATCACTAGAAAATACTTTTAATTTTTTAATTAAAATTACCCAAACATACAGAAAGCTTATTTTACTAATTTTACTAATGTATGGATAATAATATGTAGAATAATGAAACAAACAGATATATGTGCGTTCATATCATGAAAGTTTGAATTTCTTTTATCTACAATTATAAATGGAAAAGTTATATTGTCCTTTTATTCTGCAGTTATTTGCACTAGAAAAGAAATGTTAAAGTTATTGACATGAACACTTTGCGTGATTCTGCATAAAAAATTATTTTATCATTTTCAAATTTCTATTCTTCAAAAATATATTTTAAACAAATAATTATTTTTAAATGCACTATATTCTTGTACACTATTAATTTTGTTTTATAGCTGTATTTAATTCACAGTACTTACATATGTATTACTGTAAGTTTTTCTTACTTATATACAGTAAAAGATTATTCAACCTTAATAAGTTTTGTTTTCATTAAAAATACCAGTATCTGACAGAAAATTATCTTTAAATGAAAATAACTATTGATTTTTTCATCTTGCTAAACCGATGTTTCGGAATTTAATCTTAATAAGAATTTATTAGATTTAGGATGTGCAAGTTGTTCTGTAAGGTGAAAATGGGGTAAATGATATACTGTACATAATAGAGCTACTTCACCTTGTCGTAATTGAAATTCGCAACCATTAGCGAGAGGTCGCGAAGGCAATTCTCCCTCGCAGACTAAAGCCCAATGATGCGATCGCTTTTGTCGTTCTTTTTCATTTGAAAGAACAGGGCTAGTTACAAAAAAAGGTTCCAAAAATGCACGTGGTGCTGCATCTTGAGCCAAACACCGTGCAAGTCGATTTAAAATAGATTCTATAGAATGACGTGGTTGTTGTCGCGTAACTCTTAAATATTTCTGTAAAGCTCTTGCCATAGATGGAAATACTGCTTGGGCAGCTTCCATAGGATCCATAGGACCAGGATTTGGAGTAGATTCAACTTCTGAATGTAAACGTTTAATATGTGTAAATGCTTCTTCAGCGGCAGTGATTAATCTAGCTCTACGTTTTCGTACTCTACGTTCATAATCATGTTCTTCGTAAAAACGTTCATTATGACTGGAATCTCTACGACGAGTCTGAGTTGTTATGACTGCTCTATCTCCACTACCTCCTCGTGACTGTACACTACCAGTTACTCCACCATCAACTTCATAAAATTTGAAACTTGATTGTTTTCTACCAGATTTTGATACTGGTAGTCTCTCTAAGTATGGGTTATAAATAGGAAATTCTGTGTAATACTTTTCTAGTACCCATACTGCTGCTCGCTGTATCGACAGTTGTCCAATTGCATAAGATCGTGATTCACCATCTGGTGATCTTACAACCTTAAATATCAATATTATTGTAAGTACAATGTATTAAGAATACATATGAAAAAGTAAAGAAAACATAAGATATTGAATATACTTACTTTAAGATAAAACAGTGGCTGTTGATGGCGAATTTCAATTAACAATATAGCAATATAATGTATGAACAATAGAGTATCTGCAAGAGTTCCTGCATAATTTACTAAATTTTTATATTCTGTTATTTCACCATTAGCAGCAGTCTTAGCACTCTCAGTAACCTACAATTAATCATGATATGCAAATACTGTAAATCAGAAGGTTTAAAAATATTTGATATAATTATATACCTGAACAACATAAAATAACCAGTAAGTACAAATGCATAATGTAGTAAGGAGCAATACTCCTGCTCTGAATAAGAATATACGTGGCATAGTAGCATTTCTTGAGCGCAAAAACACAGCCCAACTTCCAATACCTAATAGCACCAATTTAAAGGCTAAACCTAATAATTGGCCTTTACATTCAGCATTACAAGATAATAACTGAAGCTTTTGTTGCATAGTTAAAACAGTTGTAGAGTCAGGAAAAAATCCTAGTTTAGGCAATATAACCATGGTTATAGGACTAAGAAAAGCACTTAGTCCAAGCATCATTGCTATAATCGGTCCCATAAACCGATTACAGGAACTAAATGACCCATCATTCTCATTTGGCCAATGGCCCACATCTTCAGTTGATTCTGATCTATCAGAAGTATTACCAGTGACAGCTGTGGTATTCTCACCCCAGTTTTCATCTTGAGGTAAAATTTGTACTTCTATAACTTCTTGACCTAAATTATCAACACTATCTCCTCTTAGATTAACAGTTGTTTGAAAAGGTGCCATTTCAGTAGAGTCTAGATTGTGTCTTTCTTTCTTTTGACTACGACTTGTCCTTTAAAAAAATATTTATATCAAGTAAATGTTCATAACAAACAAATTTCAATAAATAGCATTTTTTTTGACAAATTAAAATACCTGGTACTTCTATGTGAATGCTGTCTATGATGGGATTTGGAACTGTGAGTACGATGATGTTTTTGAGAAGTTCTGCTATGATGGCTATGGCTATGCTCGCTAGCCCCCGATTTTACGCTCTCCGTCTCCATTCCCCGGCAAAGGCTACCGCCCTGCTGTTACCCCATAAGAGCATACCCTCTTCCACTCGTAACTAAACACCAAGCACATGTACGTAAATGTATCAATCGTAAAATTGAAACTTTATTGAATTATAGGATGATATAATATAAATAATGAAGCATTCTTCAAGTTTAAAACTTTTTGTTGCATATTTTAAAATAAAAAATATATTCTTTTATGTATGAAATTCATACTATTAAAAAGTATTGTAATAAAATGCTTGTTTAATTGCAAGTTTCTGTTAAAGTATTAAAAAACAGACGCCGACACGCCTAACGTTTATTATTCTCAACCCCTTTAGCTTGTCTTGTTACCACATTCCGGAATAATTGTTAGGGAAAAAACAGTATGATTTTCTAGGGATTTTATATAAACAAACAAATAGTATTTAATTTTTATAAAAATAGTAATATTTACAATGCAAGAGATTTAAATTTAATTATTACGTTTTTGGTTGTTGTAAATTTTTTTATTCTTATATTAATAATGTTAATGTAGTATTAAGAATAGATAAAAAATATTGGCGCCAATGCTGCTTTAGTTTTATGAATAATATTTTATGTAGTAACGAATACCTTTAGAACACTGCCTTAGGTTCTTATGATCATACTTAATGATCACAAAATACGCAATAATTGACCAAATTATTTAAATGATTAGGTTTTTTGCTTTTAAAGTAAACTTTCTGTGTTTATATATTCCTATGTATATAGATTTATTTAAACACTGTTCACTGAAAATAATCTTGTATATTATAAATCACCAATCATAAAAAAAAAACATTTTATGTTAGCTTTGCGACAATGCCAATAAAACTGTGACAGATGAAAAGTGTTAGATAACCGGTGAAACAGGTAGGTAAACGAAATAAACATATAAACAATAATATGACGTTATATTATATTACACATTATGTAAATTATTGTATCATAAGTTATAGTTGTGACCTACTTAGTTCAAGAAATCTTTTGAAAAATTAATATTTGATTTGAAAATGTTTGTTCCTTTTCTTAATTGCTGATAATTCTTATATTTGTATATGTACCTATACTGTCTTTGACAATAATATCAAAGTGATTGTTGTAGCATAATTGTTACATAGTATGACTTGATTTTTGTCACTTATATATATATACATGTTATATGTTTATAGAAAAATATAAACATGGCTCTGCGTACATATGGTGATAAACCTATAAGTTTTCAAGTTGAGGAAAATGGGGAATATTATTGTATTGGATCTGAAGTGGGCAATTATTTACGCCTATTTCGTGGATCATTATACAAACGTTATCCTGGAATGTTTCGGAGATCCATTACAAATGATGAACGCAAAAAATTGGTAGAACTTGGTTTAAGTCAACATGTACTTGCATCAAGTGTATCTCTTTTAAGAGCTAGTGAAGTAGAAGACATTATTGAGGGTAATGATGATAAATATAAAGCTGTATCAGTACATTCAACAGAACCTCCAGCTCCTAGAGAAGGAAAATCAAAAAAGTCAATGCCTTGGGTGCCTAGTTTACCAAATAGTTCACATTTGGATGCTGTACCTCAAGCTACACCAATCAATCGTAACAGAGTACACAATAAAAAAGTTAGGACATTTCCTTTATGGTAAATATTATGGTATAATATACGCATATTTTTTTATACTTACATAACAGTAGATATTTAAAAAATAATTTGTAAAAATTAATTAAATACAATTAAACATTTTTCTAGTTTTGATGATACAGATCCATCAGCAAATTTGGAAAATGCAGCACAGCAAGAAATGTTAGTCCCGATTCGTTTAGATATGGAAATTGAGGGACAAAAATTAAGGGATACTTTTACATGGAATAAGAATGGTATGGTTTTTTATGTACCATTTACTTTATACATATGTGCAATATAATTTGTGTTAGAATTATAAATTTAGATTTAAGTTAAGTTCAGATGTAAGTTATATTATGTTAAAATTATTATTGTATGTTTGTGTATAGCTACACACACACACAAACACATACGCATAGGTTTACACACGAACGCGCGCGTATATGTATATGTATACATGTATATATGTATATTGTATTATTATATTATATTATAATATAATATAATATAATGTATATATATTTACATAATATACAACAAAATAAATTTCTTCTTTCAGAAAGTCTTATAACACCAGAACAATTTGCGGAGGTATTATGTGATGATTTAGATTTAAATCCATTAACCTTTGTACCAGCTATTGCACAAGCTATAAGGCAACAAATAGAAGCTTTCCCACAAGAAACAATTTTAGAAGATCAGTGTGATCAACGAGTTATAATTAAATTAAACATACATGTAGGCAATACATCTTTAGTGGATCAAGTAGAATGGGATATGTCTGAAAAAGAAAATAATCCTGAAAAATTTGCAATGAAACTTTGTGCTGAATTAGGACTTGGTGGAGAATTTGTTACTGCTATTGCTTATAGGTAAGTATAAATAATCTATATGTTTTATAAAATATTTTTTAAGAATCTGTTATGTATTTTAATTAAATATATTTTAGTGTACGTGGACAGTTATCATGGCACCAAAGAACCTATGCATTTTCTGAAGCACCTTTACCCACAGTAGAAGTACCTTTTAGACCACCTTCAGAAGCTGATCAATGGGCACCATTTTTAGAAACATTAACAGATGCAGAAATGGAAAAAAAAATACGCGATCAGGATCGAAATACGCGGTAAAAATTGTTATATAATGTAGTTATTATAGTCTACGTAAAATAATTACAATGGTTTTTGTTACAGGCGCATGAGACGTTTAGCAAACACTACACCTGGATGGTAAAACATGTACATTACGAGGGTAAATTATATTACTAATAATAATAAACTATCATACTTGTAGATTTGCTCAGAAAACATCCATTTTTATCATTTTTGGAGTTTTTTAAAGTTTGAATATAATAAAATTTTTATGTTAAAATTTAAATAAGTAATAAAGTGCATTTTAATAAAATTTTATACATCTACCAAAATAATATTGCTAAACTAATATAAAAATTTATCTACCAGCAAAAAGACGTTCCTATCTTCTTATAATCATTCCCTGTTTGCATGCCTTATGTACTGTGTATTCATAACTGACGTTACATAACATGAAAATAAAAAATAATTCTTGCTAATCTACTTAATTGTAAGTGTTTATGAAATATATGTCATGTGATCATGTAATGAAATTGAATATTGATAAGAAATTTGGAATACTCCATTAACTATAAGTGAACCATTTCATCTAGTATACTTTATTTTATAAAATATTACAAAGTAAAATTAAATATTGAATTGTATGAATAATCAATATATTTATTTTATTTCTGGTTATTCGATTTTTATCATTTTATTAATTATAGTTTACTATTCACATATCAAGAAGAATAAATACAAATTTTATAGTATAATTTCTATGAATAATGTATGTAATTGGCACTGAAAATAAAGTTTATAATACTTGTAGACAAAAAGAACATAATAGAATTAATTTCGATTGAAATGATTTTTATAAATAAAATACAGAAAGAAATGATGCTGAAATAAAAGAAAGAATAAGTAAACAATAAAAGATATTAAAATCACAAAATGCTTTGAAAAATATATTATTCATATGCAAAATTTCAGTCATTTCATCTACAGTCACCTATTCAATTAACATTACATATGTAGTGTTAAATATTCGACTATCAACTTATAATGTGAGTAAAAGAAGTCATTTGGGGAAGGGGGACGCGCATCGAAATGTACAAATATCAATCGGCTCAGTTCGGATTTGACGGCTGAAGGGAAGAGACTACGGACAAGCAAGGGCAAATTCGAAAGATGGATATCAGTTTATTAATGCACAAATAATTGCAACAACAGAGTGAAATTTCGGC